CTATCCCTATCCCTATCCCTATCCCTATCCCTATCCCTATCCCTATCCCTATCCCTATCCTTATCCCTATCCTTATCCCTATCCTTATCCCTATCCTCATCCCTATCCTCGACACTAACCTTATCCCATTAACATAGCAAACATACTTTTATCACCTTACCAATTATTTATCAATCATATATATTTAAATATCACTTCTACTTTAAAGCATCAGATAAAACCATAAATACTCAAACAAATTATACTAATTATTTTTTTTATCAGTTTAATTTTTGAAAATATACTATAAAAATATTATACCAAAAAAAAATATATTACCAATATTAACCTTAAACCAAAATTTCCAATAATTTAATAATTACCAATCATTTGCCAATCATCTACTAATTTAATTTTGAAGCTTTGGGTAAACCCAACAGATTTACGAGTAAAACTTAAAATTTTTAAAATATATTATTTAAGTATTCAAGAATCAATAATTAAAATAATCCAGCAGAATTTTAAATAAACCAAAAGTTATTATTAAAAAAATGTTTACAAATATTATTAAAATATATATTATAAATTGTTTAAAGAATTATTTTTTGTTTTATTTATTTATACAACAAATTTGATCATTAAAAATTATATTGTTCATTTTTTTATAAATAGTCTTTAAAATTTTATGAAGAAATACTCATAAAAATACATTTTATTAAAATTTAAAAAGTTATTACTAGTAAAAGTCACCCAATAATGATACAATCTTGATAAAATTTAATGTGCAATAAATCTAAACGAATGTTAAATTGTCTGTAAAATTTGAATATATATTATTATGTAAAATTTTCAACTGAATCTAATCAATTTAATTATAGCAAAAAGATAAAATTGAATAAATGTTCAACAAATGATCATCAAAATTATGATAAAATGGGAATGTCCGCTATGCTTAACCCATCGCTTTCATTTTCAATATATATTTTTTAAATATTACATATACACATATGTAATTTATAATTTTAATGTTACGCAGATGCATATTTGTTTATAATTTTAATGTTATGTGGACGCATATTTGTTTTATAATTTTAATGTTATACAAACACATATTTGTTTTATCAAAAACACATTACACGATCACATCTAAAAATATTTACTATATTACATATACAATTTACTTATAAAAAATAGTAAATTTTTTTACACAAACATATTTATAATTTTATTTACATATTTTATTAGATTTTTTTAATATCATAAAAAATGTAAAATATATATTATATTATATATATATTAAAAAATCTATCCTGCTACGCAAATATATATTTAACTATTAATAATTTAATATTCTACTATGCAAATTATATCTGTCTATTTTAAAAGAATTAATTTAAAATTCACCCTAAGTTATTTTTTAGTTTTAATCACAATTTTTTATTTATTTATTTATCACATAATGATTATAAAAAAAAAAAATTCTTTTTTAAAAAAAAATTTAAAAACTTTGTTATTAACACAAATTAAACACTTTAACTCAATTTTGTTACTTATATCTTGTGAAGCTACAGGTATTTTATACAATTCATAGTATATTTATTTCTAAATTTATTTCGTGTTATATTTTCTAACTTCAGAGCGTAATTTCGTTACTTTAGTCAAATGAAATCAACTTTCTTTATTAAGTAAAAGTTGTTCAGCAATATCAAAACTACTTATATTTTGAATATCATAAGCGTAGGTATAATACTTGTAAAAATATTCGTATTTTTTATAATAACAATAATTTTTAAATTTTTTTTTTTTTTTTTTTTTTTTTTTTTTTTTTTTTTTTTTTNTACTTTAGTCAAATGAAATCGACTTCATTTATTAAGTAAAGTTATTCTCTGATATCGAAACTACTTATATCTTAAATTTCATGAACGTAGATATATGAATTTTTCATTTTTTGTTTATTAAATTCAGAGCGTAATTTTACTACTTTGCTCAAATAAAATTGACTTTCTTTATTATGTGAAAATTGTTCAACAAGGTGGAAAATACTTACATGAGTGTAGGTATTATGTTTGCAAAAATATCCGTATTTTTTATAATGGTACTAATTTTTGAATTTTTCTTGCTAAGAATATAATTTCACCATTTTGGTCAATATTTTAGCTATCAAATTTTATAATGCTTTAATAAAATAAAGAGGAAAATTTTAATTTATTGGCAATTTAGTTAAAATAATTTATTAAAAATCAGTTTTACTTTATGTATATAAATTTTAAAAATCATATGACTAAGGTTGCTTGTCTAAACCTCTTTAAAATCCTACGCTATAGATTTATTATAGTTTTGGCAGAGTTTCGGCAGTTTCGGCATTTATAATAAGTTTTGGCAGTTTCGCCTTTCTTCAAAGTTTCGCCAGTTTTTTAATATAACTTTAATATAGTTTTGGCAGAATTTCACTTTTCGGTAAAACGCCATCTTGCCTAAACCCCTAGGTTTCAGCAAGCAACCTTACATATGACCAGGTGATTTTCACCCAGGGTGAACGTTAAAATTACCTATTTTAAAATTATGTTATTAAATAAGCAATAATAAATCTCACATAAGAAAAAATTTTTATATGTTGGCTAAGCAAATTCAAAACCTACATTTATATATATTGTTCAGGATTCTACTGACACGTGGTAATTCGCTTAGTCTTTGTTCTTTTAACTTTTGATTTTTCTAAAAAAATTCTAATGTTAATTATTTTGTAGCTGTAAAATTGCACAAACTACTTTTTGAGTGAATATTTAAATTATGTGCACGATAAGATTTATCAAGTTTAACCTCTTTATTACACACACATCGTACAGTTATTTCATTAATAACTTCCAAAAAATGTGTGTTTTTTTAATTTTTTGTAACATTCCAATTCGTCACAATTTTTAAAGATAATGTCATCAAGTGTATAGACTATTTTAGGCTTTTTTATTACTAGTTTGTTTGCAGTACATTTTTTATGTTATTTTTTAGACTTTCCCATATTTGTTTTATTTACATATAATTTTGTAAACAATTTACAATTTTGCGCGTAAATAAAATAACATTTAAATAAACGCGCTAGATAATCTTACCTTATTAATTGTATAAACATTTGAAATTTTACCTTATAAATAAATGTAACATCTTTAAAGAATATATAGATTTTACCTTATTAATTATAAGTTACATTTTAAAAAAATGCGTCCATTTTACCATATATTATCAGTTACATAAAAAAAATTTACCACAAAATTTCAGTTACATTTTTTAATGTTTAGTGAATTTACCTTATAAATTCAACCAGTTTTTTTTTATTTTTCTAAGTAATTTTTACTTTAGGCTTGTGGGTGACCTCCGTTAGAAGTAAGCGGTCCTATTTTACTCTTAAATCAAAATTTGATCACAATGTACCAAAATAATTAGTAATTTTTACATTCTTATAATTATATAAATTAATTATCCAAACTTGATTTTAAATAAATATAATAAGTAATTAAATAGTAATTTATTTTTGATCACAAATCAAAAATGCATACTAAATAATGTAATGCGTCAAATACTTTTTTTTAAAAAAAAGTCAATTTATTTCAATTTTATATTTTCAAAATTATAAATTTATAATATCATCTATTATTAAACTTTCAGATATTGAAAAAATATAATGCAGAAGATTTTGCAGATATTGCAGAAATAGTTAATAAAGATAAGGTAAATAATGTGTGAAATAAGACAATATTTCATTTTTTCTAATAAATAAAATCAAATAGGATAGAGATAATATTAATGAAGATAAAAATAAAGATGATGAAAATGATAAAACAGTTGCTTTCTTTACTTTTAAACTATAAATTCTAAAAATAATCTATACAACTGTTCCTATAGAATACCCAGAAACCTTACTGAAGGAGTTGCAACAATATACAATGTTACTGGTTAAAAGAATCACATAAATGTGATCTGTTTTTAAACTTATAATTTGGATTTTATTTGAAGTATATTAGTTGATGTTATAATCTATGAAATGCATCATAATTCATGGACTTTAAGTTACTATTTTCTTTTAAACTACAATAAACTGATTTATAACTCATGCATTTCTACTGGTAGTAATGTAAGTGATTGAGTAATTCAATTAATATTTTACCAGAATTTGGCAATTTATAAATCTCTTAATTTTTCAGAAAATTTTTTATTACTTGTTGCAAATTTGCAATGTTTTCATCAATTAAATTTTTGTCTATCATGGTATTCTTTTTACATTACTATAAATTCTTAAAATAGGTCCATTATTTAATTTCTATTTTCTAGTATTTTTAAAATAAATCTAATCAATTCCTAATGTATTTATTGGCAAAATGGTATATTTATAATTCCAATGATAGAAAGTTCTTTTATTAGATCTAATTTTCTTTAAGATATCTACTATTACTTATTGTTCTACTATCCTTTTCATATTTAATAGAATTATTCATTTATATTTATATCACATTTCATAATATATACATGCAATTTATCACTGTTTTATTTGTTTATAAAATTTAACATAACAATACATAAGAATTTAATTACATAATAATTGATTAATAAATAATTGTTATTGGATATGTCCTATGTAAGCACTGGACATTTTTCATATATGTTATTGATCACTTTATAATAGTGATACATAAAAATAATCACTTTATTATAAAATAATCAATAATTTACATGAAAAAGATCTCAGTAACTTACGTCAGACATATTCAATAACAATTATTCAATTTCTTCTTTCTCTTGATTTTCTTCTTCCTCTTTGTATTTTTCATATCTGAGAGGATGCATGATTTTCAATTCATTATCATCCCAATTATCACCTTCTTCATTATTGACTATCCATTCAGAATCAAATGGCGAAACATAAGAAGTTAACATATCCCTAAGAATATCTGCAATATTATCTTCAATTTTGTAATGTGTAAGACCAAAAGTTACCCAATACAAATTTTTAGTTTCTAAGTTACCACTACGGGTAGATCTACTAGAATGAGACTCTTGATAGTGTTGTTTATATCCGAGTTGCCAATATAAACATAAACATGGTTCAGTATGATTTTTTAAGTCAGTACCCTCAAATACATAATCACAATTTAACATTGATTGGGCTGAGGCAGGATATTTTTGGTCAGTTTTTGAAGTTGAAATATTTTTTATTTGAATAATAATAACACTATATTTTTCGCCAGTTTTCATGCGGACAGGAATACAAATATCTGCACCAGGATGATTTCGTTTCATAATGAAAGCGCATCTTCTTTTATAAAAATTTTCCAAATCTTTCCTTTCCGGTACATAACTAACTGCATTAAAATGCGTAAATGCTACAGATCCATCAATAAAATCATCTGAAAAGTTCGTCAAATCTGGGGTAGAATCTTCATGATAAAGTTCTGTAAGAAAATCTTTAACACTGTTTACTGATCCTTTTTTTTTTAAATTATGAGCCACAACAGCAAGGATAATCCGACTAACAATTTCTCCTCGAGGTCCAGGTTCCACAAGTCCCTTTTTGAGAGAAGAATTAAACTGCTTTAATATTTCTGGCAACGTTGAATCTGACATGAATTCAAGTGCAACTTCTGATAGTAAGGGCTCAGAAGGATAAGCAATAATTAACCGTTCTCTATCTTCTGATAAAGCAAGACAAGTGGCCATATGCGAAGCGACAAGTTCTGAGGTCAATCTAGACTGTGGCGACATGTCAATTCCTATTACAGATGATAGAATTGCCAAGCTAGAGATTTCCTGCTGACTTTCTTTAAACGAATTCGCTCCACCAAGCAGTTTTCGACTAAGAAGATTTTTGAGCTTACCAATAGCTTGAGTATTGTCTTTGCAACTTTGCAAGTATGAAAAGTATAAAGGACGACCAAACTTAGCCAAATTAAAGTACTCATTATGCTCATTATACTCATTATCATCGGATTTAAGAATATCCATTGTAGTTAGACGAAAGTATGGATAAAATAATTTAAGAGGTAAGTTTGAATCATCTCGGCCTGATGGATCCGCCGATTTTGGAGGTGCAAAATTTGATATCCTACTTAATGTATCCAAAAACATGACAAAAAGCCCATTCCACGTTATATGCCTCAATGCCCTGCGAAAAAATCTAAACAATGAAATTTTCTTGTAATTATCTTGTGATAAAAGGGTCCTAGCTTCATCAATACAAAAAAGAAGGTGAACATCATCTGTATTGTCATCACTTATAAGGTTATTTGAAGAATTTATAGCATCAAAACTTATATTTCTCCAAGTTTCTGATTTTTTTTGAATATCGGTCCATATTCTCTCACAGAATGATGCATCCATCTGGTTATTCCATAACTCTTCAGAGGTACTATTCTTTAATTCCTCTTTGAAACATAGTATAGCATTCTGTAAAACATAAAGAAACTTCCATTCCTCCTCTTCTTTTAAATCTCCAAGAACTCGTTCAAACAGGTCTGCACCAACACTGGTACGTGGAGGATATCCTGTGCTTCTTGGATCTCGGAGGCAAATATAAATTGTAGGGATTGTCTTAGCTGTTTCCTTAATCAAACGTGACTTTCCGTATCCGGAACTTTGGAATATCGTACTATATGGAACATAATTATTTATGTTTCTTTTCCAGGCCTTGTGCTTCTCGTTTAAGTAATTCATAAAATTTTTTTTCATTCCATGAGGGTCTTTAAATTGATAACTAAAGGCTTCTTCAAGGGTGATCCTGTGTGTTTCAAATCCAGTATCTATAACACCTGGCTTAGATAAAATAATTTTGAGACAGCCGCCAGATTTTTGTGCGAACTTTATATGTTGTTCACTCAATTGATAATAATCATCTCCCAGGACAGTACAATCAACAATTAATGGTTTAAGCGACGGTATACTATTTATAAACTTAATAATTTCCTCGGGTGATCCCGTGCGTGGAGCATTTTCAAAGTAAAATTCTTTATTGTCAGCTGTTACCACCATTTTCATAGTTTCGACCTCTTTACATTTTTTCAAAAATAAGAAAAAAATACTTGAGTAAAGTCAAACAACATGCAAACTGATATTCTAATTTGTTAACATATAATGCTTACCTTTAATTACAATCTCTAATGCTTCGTCTATTTGATTGTATAATCCGGTAATAAAAATATCCCCCTTCAAATTTGTCTCTCCCTTGTAAATGATAATACGATTTTTTGGTACATCTAATTCAAGTTTATCTTTGATTACTTCCTTCAGATCGTCTACAATATATATATCATTCAAATGTGTTGGTGAAAAGGAAATAGCTTGATCTTCACCGCGCATACGGACCCATATTCTTGGAGGTGCTTGAACTACGTTGCAGTTAAAAGAATGTAAGCAATACTTTTAAATACGAACAAATACGAATGATTATAAATAATTACCTGATTCTGTTGATGAGCTAACTGACCATGACCCCGGTGAACGTATTGTTCCTAGTATGACAAAAGATGCATTTGATAAACAAAGCTCAAGCATTAGATAAATAGTAAAGTACATAAATTAACGAATGAGATATACCTTGAGCCATCTGCAAATTAGCTATTTGCTCCTCTAGCTCTCGTATCTTTTCGTCTGCTGCCTTTGAATCTAATATAAAAGACGTAATATTCAGAATTATGCCAGATTCTCAAACTGGCCAACCAATAAATGGACAAACGACGTTTTGTTGTGTTTCTATTCTGTCATGACACATCAAAAATACAAAATGGAAACAAGACATACCCAGAAGTGTCACTATAATTGGATTATACGTCTTTATACCAAATTTTTCAACCAAATGCTTAAAGCTACTATTTAATTGATTTCGAAAATAATCATCGTTCAGAGTAATAAATGCAGAATCAGGTTCAGCTTGTTTTACTCGTAGAATGAGAGAATCAGCAGGTTCAGAAAGTCCTGAATTTTGCTTGATTGCTTGACAGAGGCTAGTAAAATCAGAACCTGGTAACTGTCTGAGTGAGGATGGGTGGCGATCTTCGAATTTATACCAGATTGTATGTTTCTTTAGTATAATTGGCGATTTAGTTGACATTTTGTTGAAAAAAATATTTTATTTTATTTTATTTTATTTGTATTTTCTGCTTATTTTATGTAAGTTATAGATAAAGCGGGTCCAGATTATCTTAGTTGTACTAGTTGTACATCACACATAAAAGGATCTAATTACAAATGATGACGCCTATATATTAAAATATACCGTAGTTTCCTTTGTTTGCTATTTATAACCGGGGATCCTTAACATGTACCCCGGGTATAGATTAGCCAGAACTCTTTACATGAATTTTTAACAAATTTTATTAAAAAAAATCAATGTACAAATAATCATAAAGTATAAAAGAAATTTAATCAATTCAAAAATTTTTTTCTATATCTTGTGTAATGGATAAACTACTTAGTAAATTTTTTTAATGAGCTTACTATAAAATTTTTTGGAAAAAATAAGGTTATCTCAGCTTCTATTGATTCAATTAAAATGAAACAAATTTTATTTTATTCTACAACAAATTCTAAGATTTTTTTATTATTTTTTAAAATATAATTTATTATTAAAAATTTTTTTTTCTTATAATTAAAGTCAAAAAAATACAACTCTATTCAATTTTTGATTAGATTATTTAGACCAGAAAAAAATAATGAACATGTATTAGTTATTTACTAATCTAGTAGTACGATACTGTATATAAATTATACATGGCCTGGTAATTCCCTATTTTCGTATAAATACGTAATTCGTAATCCTGGTAATTAATTACCAGATTTTTTGAAAAATACGTAAATACGTAATTATTTATGTCATACGTAATTAACGTAAATATTATTGGCTGATCATGGATCATGTGCTTTTTTATACAAAGTCATATCAGCATTTTATTGTTTTTGCATTTTTATATATATAAATGCTGGAACTATCAGTTTCAGCATTTTTTTGCATTATACAAGTCAAACCGCTGGAACTATCAGTTTTGGCATTTTTTTTTGCATCTTTATAAGTAAAAATGCTGGAACCATCAGTTTTGGCATTTTTTTTGCATTTTACAAGTAAAAACACTGGAACCATCAGTTTTGGCATTTTTTTTGCATTTCTACTAGTAAAAACGCCAGAACTAATGGTTCTGGCATTTTTTTTGCATTTTATAAGCAAAAATGCCAAAACCATCAGTTTTAGCATTTTTTTGCATTTTTACTAGTAAAAACGCCAGAACCATCAGTTTCGGCATTTTTTTTCATTTTTACTAGTAAAAATGCCAGAACTATCAGTTTCGGCATTTTTTTTCATTTTTACTAGTAAAAATACTGGAACTATCAGTTTTAGCATTTTTTTTACATTTCTACTAGTAAAAATGCTGGAACCATCAGTTTCGGCATTTTTTTGCATTTCTACTAGTAAAAATGCCAGAACTGATGGTTCTAACGTTTTTTTGCATTTTACAAGCAAAAATGCCAGAACTATCAGTTTCGGCGTTTTTTTTTGCATTTTTACTAGTAAAAATGCCAGAACTATCAGTTTCGGCATTTTTTTTGCATTTTTATCTAGTAAAATGCCAGAACCATCAGTTTCAGCATTTTTTTCATTTTTACTAGTAAAACGCCGAAAACCATCAGTTTCAGCATTTTTTTGCATTTTTACTAGTAAAAACGCTGAAACCATCAGTTTTAGCATTTTTTTTTCATTTTTACTAGTAAAATACCAGAACTATCAGTTTTGGCGGTTTTTTTCATTTCTACAAGTGAAAATGCCAGAACCATCAGTTTTGGCGATTTTCTTTTCATTTTTATATGTAAAACTGCCAGAACTATCAGTTTTGGCNCATTTTTATATGTAAAACTGCCAGAACTATCAGTTTTGGCGATTTTCTTTTTATTTTTACATGTAAAACTGCCGAACTATCAGTTTTGGCATTTTTTCTCGCATCATGTGATTAATTACCAATAGTATTTACGGTAATTACGTTAAACGTAATTATTTACAGGTACTTTTAACTAATTACGAAGATATTAATAATTACAATTAATGTAATAATTTACGTTATACATAATTAATTACGAATTACGTAATTATTTACGTATTTCAAATTACGAATTACGTAATTATTTATGTATTTCGAATTACGAATTACGTTTTTGGCTGAAGATTTACCAGGCCATTTATATACTAAACTAGATCAGTAAATAACTTTTTTATAATTCTAGATATACTAATTGGTCTGCCAGTTTATAACTGGCAGAAAAAATCTTAAATACCAATTAGTAGCCAGGTGATAAAATTAGTCATTATATATCAATTTAAGATGAATACAAAATTAATTGATCAATTTAATTGTAATTAATCAATTCAGTTTAGAATTGAACAAAACTATAGGACCTGTTTGGCTATTTAATTCTGGTTTTTTAATTGAAAATCTATTAATTAGTTTTAACATATAATCAAAATCAAAATTGAGTATTTTATTTTTTCATATAATAAAATATTTTTCTTTTTTTATAAAATAGAAAATAAAAGATATTATAAAAGTATAGTAAACTTTTTGAGAATATATATTAAAACTTTACTAGACATCAAATATATTAAAGAAAAGTGATCAAAATAATATTATACTTTTATTGTTTTAAAAATTTGGGTTATTAATTAGATCATAATTTTAATTATTAATTCAAAACCTGATCAAAATTTCAAATAATCAGAATTGAACAGATCTATAATAGGTTAGTTTATAATTGTTTAATCAAGATTTTTTCAGTTATTTTTAGTTAAGTTACATTAATTTTATAATCAAAGTTCAATTTTAAGTTATAAATATTAAATAACTAATAGTTTTGTTTATTTTTGTTAGTATTTAACTAAAATAACCTATATTTTTGATAATGTATATTTAATTATTTTACAAATAAAATTTATAATTAAATAAATATTCTATTTAATTAATTATAAATTGGAGTAAAATAGAAATTTATCTATAAGTTTCTAAAGGTTTTAATTAGTTTTGCTTATTTCATATAATAATTTTTAATGAATCAAATATTGGAATAAATTAGAGCTTCCGTTTGAAATTAGGACATTCAAATATTCAGTTGTAAATCATAGTTAAATCTATATTTAAAACTGAAATATTAAAATTTGAATCTATAAATAGATTCAAATATGTCATCAAATTCGAATATTATCTGATATTTGAATGTCATGTAAAATTCAAATGTTTTATAAGATTTGAATCTATTCAAATTTGCCATATGATTTCATTGATTTGACGCCTATTTGTGTATAGAATAAATAAACTAATCATTGATAAAGAAAATTCTTCAATAGACAATATTTAATTAATTTTTTCTTTTGACTATAATAAATTTATTATGAAAAAAGGTCAAGAAACAGAATATAATAACAATATTGAAAGAGGACCCCGGATATCTAATATAACTGTCTCTTATACACATCTAGATGTGTATAAGAGACAGTCTCAGCATCCAGTAATTCAATTTTAATGAACATTTTTTTATTTTGTAGCCCTCATTTAGCTCTACAATTTAAAAAAATGTTCATCAAAATTGGACCACTGGATGCCGAGATATTTACAAAAAACGATTTTTTGAGCCCTGAAAAATGGGCCAATCTGCCGAAAGTGTGACTTATGACCTGTTTTGGAGATATCCGGAGTCCTATTGAAAGAGTTTAAAACTAGAAAAAGTAAAAAATTAATCTTTTTAAAAAGAAATTCCAATTTACTTGATATCATGTATAAGGTTGCTGGAGAAACTAGGGGGTTTTGGCAAGTTGGCGAAATGCTGAAATAGCGAAACTTTGCTGAAACTATATAAAAGTCTTATTAAAAAATTGGCAAAACTCTAGAGAAAAGCAAAACCTGACAAAACTTATTATAAATGCCGAAATTGCTGAAACCTTGCCGAAACTATAATAAAACTATAGTAAAATCTTGAAGAAACTAATCGTAGAATTTTGGAAAGGTTTAGGCAAACAACCTTAATCATGTAATTACTTAATTTAATTTGTAACATAAAGGAAATAATATAAATATTAAATAAAATAAAGAAATAAAGACATAATTTTACTAAAAAAAATAAAGTTCGTATTTGAATATTGTATGAGATTTGAATATCATATATTAATTCAAATATCTTGTGAGATTCAAATATCATATATTAATTCAAATATCATGTAAGATTCAAATATCATATGATTAATTCAAATATTATATGATATTTGAATTATATTCGAAATTCTATCTCAAATATTTTCAAACATTCAAAATACAATTTGATTTTCAAACGGAAACTCTAAAATAAATTGAATAAAAAAATTATAAAATTATAAAATGCATTAATACCATATTACATGATATTAATTTATAGTATTATGTGAAGTTTAGAATAAGATGCATCATTTAATTAAAATTTAGTTTTTTACTAGTTTTTAACAATTCAGTTTATTAATTTGGATTTATATTATAAAACTGGTTTGCGTTTAAAGTAAATGTAACTAGAATATATATATTATTTAATAAAAATAGTTATTATTTTTATTGTAATAAGGGAATTAGGGGAATTTTTCATTTTTTTTGTTTATATTTAATTTATTAAACTTTTGTTTCTTTTTCTATTTTTCTTTAAGGGAAAGGAAGATAACAAAAAGGAAAGGGTAAAACGTAAAGGAAAGAATAAAATGAAAGGGAAAAAAGGTAAAATAAAAGGAAAAAGTAAACAAAAGGGGAAAAGAAAACAAAAATAAAAGGAAAAAATGAAAAAGAAAAAAGGTAAAACAAAAGGGAAAAAGGTAAAACAAAAAAGAAAGGTAAAAATAAACGGGAAAGGTAAAAATGAATGGGAAAGGTGAAAATGAATGGGAAAATGAAAGGGAACAGGAAAAATAAAAGGAATATTTCAAAGGTATACTTCGAAATGTTTGTTTTTATTTTGATTTTTTTCAGCGAAACATATATTAACATTTCATTTTTTTTCTTTTTTAAGGTCAGTAATTTTTGGACATATGGAATTTAATATTTTAAAGGTATATATACTTTGCGTATATTAATATTTCATTTTTTTTTTTAGGTTGAATGTATGAAATTTAACATTTTGAAGGTATATACTTCAAAATGTTTCTTTATATTTTGATTTTTTTCAATGAAATGTTTATTAATGCTTCGTGTTTTTTCTTTTTTTTAAGTTTTCATCAGCTTCTACTTTAGCACTGGACATTTGATACATGATTGAATTAAAAGTGTGAATTATCCATAGATCATCAGATATCTGATAAATATAGATTATTGTTAAATAATAATAATTGTGCATTTATTAATAAATAATATTATAATAAATTATGTGAAATTATTAAACCAGTGTTTTAAATTGCCATGGCGTTTACATTAAATTATTTAAAATTATTACTAAATTTTACTTAATTATTCGAAATTATTGCAAAATTTTACTCAATTGTCCAAAATTATTGCAAAATTTCACTAAATTGTCTCTGAAAATGTTGCATTTATACCGTTTACATTCAATTGTCCAAAATCGGTAAAACATTTTCACTCAATTGTCCAAAATTATCCCAAATTTCACTAAATTATTGCTAACATTTACCAAAAAAATGCAAAATTCACCACAATTTTCCACAATTTGCATTATATTTGCATAACATTACTGAAAAATTCACCTAAATTTTTAACAATTTATATAACATTTAAGGTTGCTTGCTGAAACCTAGGGGTTTAGGCAAAATGGCGTTTTGCCGAAAAGCGAAATTCTGCCAAAACTATATTAAAGTTATATTAAAAAACTGGCGAAACTTTGGAGAAAGACGAAACTGCCAAAACTTATTATAAATGCTGAAACTGCTGAAACTCCGAAACTATAATAAATCTATAGTAAAATTTTGACGAAACTAATCGTAGGATTTTGAAGAAGTTTAGACAAGCAACCTTAATAACATTACTAAAAATACATTACAATTTAACATTACTAAAAATTTATCTAAATCCACCACAATTTGCATTACGTTTACATAACATTACTAAAAATTTACCTAAATTTACTATAATTTGCATTACGTTTACATAACATTACTAAAAATTTGACTAAATTTATCACAATTTGCATTACATTTACATAATATTACTAAAAATTTGACTAAATTTACCACAATTTGCATTACGTTTATATAAAATTACTAAAAATTTGCCTAAAATTTACACAATTTACATTATGTTTACATAACATTACTAAAAATTTACTTAAAATTTCCCACAATTTAATGATTATTTACAGAAAAATTTCTCTTCGCTATACTCTGAATAATAATATTACTGCGCATATTACAAAAAAATAATACATGAAAAAAATTATAAAATGTAAATACAGATTATTGTCTACTACAATTTATTCAGTATATTCTCAGTGTATTCTCTTTTACAAGATAGTCCTTTAATAATACCTTCAGTGAAAATTATACCAATAAAGCTTATATACTAATTATAGTAAACTTAGTAACGCATTATAGATGTGGTTGAAAACTACCTTATCAAAAGTGTAATTATTGTAGAAATGACATTATTTTATTTTAAATTAGTTTTAAATCAGATTTAAATCTTTAAATTAATTTTGAACTAATTTCTATTTTTTGCCATTTAGGTTATATGTATAGATATACAAGATGGTAGTCTAAAAGCGTTTCCTATTACCAGGCTTTATGACTGTGTTTGTATGATAAAAGAATTTCAAACTGCTAACTGCTACTCTTCTTTTTTCAGCATGTAGCAACTCATGAAAATTCAGCCAAATTCAACTAACCTTTCTGCAAAGGTATGTAAGCTGCACGTAGGGATTGGAATCAATCCTCAAAATAAAATCGATTTAAGAATCGATTAATCACGATTAATCGAATCTCAAGATTCGATTCTAAGATTCGATTTTCGATTTCGATTAAATCGATTCTAATCGATTCTATGCGTCATAAAAAAAAATTGATCATTATTCATAATTAAATTTGTGACGCAACAATTTTAATAGGCAAAAAATCTATTTTTTTTTTTTACAGTAATTTTGCTTATTTTATATGGGTATTGCTAAATCTCACTGCTGGCTTAATTTCGGCTGGAATTATAATTTGCCCGGAGTTAATCATGTGATCTAATAAAAACTTTAATGGGTTCCGTTTATAAGCAAATATTCTTGTGTAACTTTACTGCATAAATCATTAAATCACTTATTTCGTAATGGTTAAAAGTGGTCTAAATAACCCAAAAGTAAGTCATTTAGACCACTTTTAACCATTAATTAAAAGTCAAACTTTTTTTATTATGTTACATGATTAACTCCGGCCAAATTATAATTTCGGCCGAAATTAAGTGGTGAAAAACACCTGCAGTGAGATTTAGCAACGCCCTATTTATTTATTTTACATATAAATTAAAGTAATTTACTGTGTAATAATTAAATGAAAATAATTAATTTATATAAAATAATAAAAAATAAATTAATTAATTAAAAACTATTTTAATAAAATATTATAAATGCTAAAAAAAAAATCGAATTACTGCACCACAATAAAAGATTCGATTTTTTAATTCGATTTTTGATTAATTCGATTTTGCTAGAATCGATTCCATTCTCTAGCTGCACGTGTTATGTTTTATTAATGAGAAATATATTAATGATAATTGCTATTCACTAATTAATTCTTTAAATTGTTGAAAAGGTAACGAGCTTCTAATTTTGGTAAAATTCAATGAAAATTGAGGCGATCACTTATGACCTCTTTTCTGTGCAATGCATTTCTGAAATCTGTAATGCAAAAATTATCTTCTTGACTCTTCTCATATTACTTTCTTGACTCAGTCAAAATATGCATGATTATCTATGACAAAAATGTTCCTTTCTTGACCTAAAACGTGATTGTAATAAACAAAAAAGAAATATTTTATTTTTTATTTATATTTAACAAAAATAGCATGCAATCTGTCTTTTGCGAGTTGTGAGTATGATCAATACTTTTTTATTTCTACAATATTGATAAAATTAAAATAATTTTATTTTATTTACAAAAGATAGCTGATAAAAAGATTACATTTAAGAGAAATACATTAATTAGGTAATAAATACTAGCATAAAACTAAATATTAAAATAAAAAAAACAATAAATTATTTTATCATTAATCATTAGTGATAAAAAAATTTAATCTTTGTATATATCTCTTGAAAAATTATGAAAATAAGAAAAATAACAACGCGTTAATGTTTTTTTGCAGGTTAAGAAAAGAACATTTTTGTCATACATAATCATATTTTATTCAAGTCAAAAAAGTAATATGAGGAGGATCAATTTGCATCTGTGATGCAAAAGTATCGGACTTGACCCTCCTCGTGGTACTTTCTTGACCTGATCAAATATGCAGATTTATGCATAATAATAAATGTATTTTTCTTGACCTGATCAAATATGCAAGTTAATGCGTAATGATAAATAGATTTTTCTTGACTCAGTAATGTGATAAATGATACTGTGATTATTGTGATAATTTTTGTGAAAATGTGATGTTGATTACGCGAAAGTGTGCTTATGCGAAAATTTTTATTTCTCCGCAATGGGCATTATGTTACATAAATTGTATACGGTAGTAAAGTATTTCTTTAAATATTCTTATTATAAAATATGAATAAACTTGTAATATTCTTTTATTAATATGTATTTGCTAATTTTAGTTTGAAAATGAATACTGTAGCAAAAAAAAGTGTTCAATTATTAGGTTAAAATTTCTATTTTCTAATAGAAAGGTAAGAACTAAAAAGTATTGTTTATTTAGTAAATGTTAGAGCTACTAATGAAAATACATGTTATAAGTATTTGGTAATCTCGCAGAATTATTAATGTAAGTAAATTGTTTTAAGTTGTTCAGAAATAAGGGGTAACTGTAAATTAACTGTTCTTGAGAATTATTATAGGAATTATTAGGAACTGTATAAGTTGAATATATGGGTTGGAAAGAAATATTCGTATGTAAAGGAAATGTAATTGGGGTAGATAAAGGAAGACTGGTGGTAGTATTTAAATCAAAATATGGATTATATGAAGTTATATTATTATTATTTTCGTATGTGAGTGATTCCAAATTAGATTTATTTTCCTGTAATTATAAGACATCATTAAATAAATGTACTTTTTTCTGTATAATTTTAGGAAAATAAATGATTACCTTATGTGCATGAATTTGTTTTTGAGTACGTTTTGTTGTTCTTTGTTGAATTGAAAAGGATTCATTATTTTCTAAGCTACATAAAATTCGTGATGGCTTCCTTGGTTTTGCTGATGACTTTGGTGGAGCTCCAGTAGTACTAAATTTACGTTTATTATCATTTAATTCTGAATGGAAAGGATCTTTATTTAAATCTGATTGCTTATTAGTATTTGGCCAAAAGATTCTGGAACCTAAAAAAATATTAATATTAATTGAAATAATTAAATTATTGATTAAATTAATAATTATAATACCTTGTAGTTCGAATAGCCTTAAAATTTCATTATAAGCTACATCAATATCTACTTTGTAAATTAATTTATTTTTTTTTTCTGCAGAAATAATGCGCTCCTTATTTTTAAAATAAACTACTAGTTGATTTTTAACTTCTCGTGTGTACGCATAAAGATGTTAGCCGTAATTGATTGGCCGATGCCGTAATATTACAGCATACAGCATTACAGTTATGACACTTTTCGTAATACTGTAATTAGGCTGTAATACTGTAATTGGGTCGTAATGCTGTAATTAGGTCGCAATGCTATAATTAGGCTGTAATGTCGTAATTTTTAATGGCATAAAAATTTAAAATAAAAGTAATGAATTATAAAAGTAAATTACAATAGTTTATATGTCGTGTAATTTTAATTTTTAGGGGGTACATAAGACGCGTCGCATTTTTTTTTGTATTTTGTATA